TTGTGGTGCACGAAGCTTCAGAGAAGCATGTGAGAGCAGCTCAGGCCAACTTTCACATATGGAGTATGAGGAGTTAAATTAAAGAGTGGAGAGGATGGTTAGTTAGTGAGCAGGGGGACAGTTAGGTCATTTTTAGGCAGCTTTCCTTTAATACATTCAGTTCTTGCACAGCTACATATGGTGCCTTACAAAAGTGTTCCTACCCTTGAACTTTTTATTAAAGGAAAAGTCGCTCATATTCAGAATTCAAACTTCTGAAATTACTTTAAATCTGAAATGATTCCATCCTGTTCAATAAATGATCAGTGTTTTTAATTCAGAGTAATTTTCATGTGAATGTGCTTTACTGGAGGCATCCATGTTTGTCAAAGAACACTACTGCCACCTGGTTAGTGACATTGTCACGGTGCGGTATCGGCTGTTGATCAAGTCCCAGTGCTGTATCTGGTGTTTGTCACAACGCGCTATTATCCAAGTCATCTTGAAAACATTCTTCTTCCAAATGTTGGCTACATATTACGGGTTTTTTCTCTGGCCAGAAGTTCGATGGCAAATCCTCCCTCTTCAAGTTGGCGATCCAACGACCAACCCGTCCGTGGAGGATCAGGAATCAGAAAGGTGGAATAACTCTTTTTTTTTTCACTTTTACCCGATGTATTCCAGCATCCAGCTGCCATGCACGTGGGCATTGTCAGTTTCACTATAGCTCTGGGGAATTTCAATGGTGAAGTCCTCTGGAAATCTTCAATAATTGTTGTTGATTGCAGATGTGTCTAGTAGTTCCCATTGATTTAGCTTGGAAAGCGGGGAGAATGGCGCTAGGCTTACCGCACCGTGGCGTCACTGCTGGAAGATGGCAGGAGGGAGGGGCTACTATATTTGGGCAAAAATGGCCGCTCCCAGACTCAGTGATCATGATGAAAATTATTGTTTAAATTTTTTTACTGATTAACACTAAACTCATGAAATCACCGCAAATGTATTAGTTTAGGTATAAATAATGATCCATTGATTATTCCTGCTGACCGGACTTTTCCTTTAATGTTTGAAACCCTTTAAACCCGGCCGGCCCGGTACAGGCCCAACTGATACCTGCTCATGTTTATCTATTTATAGGCAGTCACATGGTGTTTCATCCACACACTTTTCAAATGGAGCTTTAACATTTATAAAACGTGTTTCAAAATATTGTTTCATAGCTGTGTAAAAAAATAAAATGAGATTTAAAATTCCACCTGGCATGTGTGACTCTGCTGGAGTAATGCAACAGCAGCTATTCATTTTTAGCCCCGCCCCCTAATGGAAACTAGAGGCTTAGACCTTTCTAAGGAGGGGTCAGAGGTCATTGTGTGACCATTTCAGGTGATGTGACCGGCATGCGTTACATAAACTGCTCTGTTATTCTTATTTTCTATTCAGTTTGGTGATTTTATTGGTAAATTTCAATGAACCGACGGCTAATTCTGAGGAGCAAAGGCTTTGCCTCATGCAGAAGGTCTCTAATAATGGAAATCAGAGTATTTATCTGACAGATTCCCTTTTATGAGTCGAAAAATGCATTTTTTTATAATTTGGCCACTTTTGCCCCTGTGCTGAAATCCCATTTCCTCCTAGCTCACTGCCCAAAAAAACATTTGTGGAACAAACATGCTTCAACTGATTCAGTCCAAATATTCAAGATGTGGATCTATAAGGCTAATAGATCAGTGTATCAACCCTCCAGACCACTCAGGTCTTCTGGCTCCAGCCTGCTCTGCATACCTAGGACCAGAACTAAACATGGAGAAGCAGCATTTAGTTCCTATGCTCCACTCCAAGACTAAAAACACATTTGTTTAGGATTGCCTTCCACTGTTCTAGTTAAACAGTTCAACTAAAACATCATTAATTCAAGTTTTTTATTTTATTTAGTCCAACTGTTTTTAATATTCTTTTTTGTTTCCGCATTTATTTATTTTTTCCGTACTTGCTTTGATTCTGTTTTATTTTCTTGTATTTTAATCATGTAAAGCACTTTGCATTGTCTTTGTACTGAATTGTGCTATACAAATACATTTGCCTTGCCTTGCCTATAAAGTCTGAGGGTTTAACCAGAGTTTCTAATAAGCTTTCATGGTGTTTTACAGTGCTTATTTTGGAAAAAAATGTGTCAAGGCTAAATATTTTACTTTTTTTCTTTGTTTAATCACCTATAAATCAAACATGGTGACATTTTAAAATATTGGTTGCACCTGAAAAATATTCCTCAAACAAATACAAACAATTGTATTTTCAATTTATAGTTTAGGAGCTGAACTTTCAGGCGGAATTTTCTCCTTTAGACCATCTGAACTTTAGGGTTTAAAATCCAAAAATAGCATAAAATAACTGGAGTTAAAGGTTCATTTAGTTTCAAATGTTTTCTATGGCGTGTATTTTTTGTTTAGCCGATTCAAACAGAATCCAGTCCCTCACAGAACTAGTGAATGGACTCTGCATGTTTGAAATCTCATCAGTGTAAATCCAGCTGTTCTATGGTGGCCTATGAGGTCTTTCACAGAATATTTGTCCCACAAACAGCATCCTGAAGATGGAGCAAAGAACAAGGCAGGATTACAGCTGGAGAACCAATTGAGACGCGGCCGTGTCCTGAACCGACACGGGAAGGAAAGGATTTTTCAAAGAGCCACCCAGAATCCTACTGTAACTCTTCTGAAGCTGCAGAGTTTCACAGTTCAGGTGTTTGAAAGTTTGAACCAGCAGAACATCCAGCAACCTGTTTCTAATGGAAGAGTGGCAGATGGTTTGGACCTGTGTGCAAAAAACCTTTACAGACCCAAAAGAGACATGCAGAAGAAAGTGGAGACCAATATAACTGAACTATATGCTGAAAATATATCTAAGGACATTAAAGAGTTGGAATGATCTAGATTCTGTTCAGTCTAGTTCTAGGCCATCAGCCTTTCCTTTCTCTCTAAGCACTGATTCCTGCTTAGCTGCTAATGAATAAATGGTCACTAAAAATCCATGCTAACAAGAAAAATGATCAACTTTTTTGCAAAAAAAATGTAAATCTCTCAAAAATATACCCAAAAAATGCAATAAATAGTGATGGTACAAAGTGCTGCTTCAAGGGTGGTAAATACATACATACATAGCATGATGCACTCTGCAGAAAAACATCTCATAGATACAGTGGTCTGCAAAAGTTTGGGCAACCTTGTTAATTTCCATGATTTTCCTTCATGAATCGTTGGTTCTTAGGATAAAAAAATCAGTTAAATATATCATATAGGAGACAAACACAGTGATATTTTAGAAGTGAAACGAAGTTTATACCATTTACAGGAAGTGTGCAATAATTGTTTAAACAAATTTAGGCATGTGCATAAATTTGGGCGCCACAATCAAAAAAAATAACTCAATATTTAGTAGATCCCCCTTTTTGCAGAAATAACAGCTCCTAAACGCTTCCCATTGCTTCCTATGAGAGTCAGGATTCTGGTTGGAGGTATTTTGGACCATTCCTCTTTACAAAACACCTCTAATTCATTCAGGTTTGATGGTTTGCGAGCATGGACAGCTCTCTTTAAGTCCCACCACAGATTTTTAATAATATTCAGTACTGGGGACTGAGATGGCCATTCCAGAACGTTGTACTTGTTCCTCTGCATGAATGCCTTAGTAGATTTTGAGCAGTGTTTTGGGTCATTGTCCTGTTGAAAGATCCAGCCCCGGCGCAGCTTCAGCCTTGGCACTGATTCCTGGACATTGGTCTCCAGAATCTGTTGATATTGGGTGGAATCCATGCGTCCCTCAACTTTAACAAGATTCCCAGTCCCTCCACTGGCCACACAGGCCCACAGCAGGATGGAACCACTACCACATTTTACTGTAGGCAGCAGGTGTTTTTCTAGGAATGCTGTGTTGTTTTTCCTCCATGCATGACGCCCCTTGTTATGTCCAAATAACTCAATTATAGTATCATCAGTCCACAGCACCTTATTCCAAAAGGAAGCCGGCTTGTCCAAATGTGCTTTAGCATACCTCAAGCGGCTTTGTTTGTGATGTGGGCGGAGAAAAGGCTTCCTCCGCATCACTCTTGCGTGCAGCATCTCCTTGTGTAAAGTACGATGCACAATGACTCCATCTGCAGCAAGATCATGTTGTATGTCTTTGGTGCTGGCCTGTGGGTTGACTTTGACTGTTCTAACCATTCTTCGCTTCTGTTTATCCGTGATTTTCCTTGGTCTGCCACTTTCAGCCTTAACTTGAACTGCGCCTGTGGTCTTCCATTTCCTGACTATGTTCCTACCTGTCGAAATAGACAACTGATTTCTCTTAGACAGCTTTCGGTATCCTTCCCCTAATTCATGACGGTGAACAATCTCTGTTTTCAGGTCATGTGACAGTTGTTTTGAGACTCCCATGTCGCTACTCTTCAGAGAAGATTCACAGAGGAGGGAAACTTACAATTGCCCCCCCTGAAATACTCTCTCATAATTTGGTTCACCTGTGTATGTAGGTCAAGGGTCACTGAGCTTCCCAAACCAATTTGATTTCCAATAATTGGTTCTAGAGATTTTTAAATCAGTAAAATGACAACAGTGCACAAATTTATGCACATGCCTAATTTTGTTTAAACAATTATTGCACACTTCCTGTAAATGGTATAAACTTCGTTTCACTTCTCAAATATCACTGCGTTTGTCTCCTATATGATATATTTAACTGATTTTTTTTATCCTAAGAACCAACGATTTATGAAGGAAAATCATGGAAATTAACAACGTTGCCCAAAACTTTTGCAAACCACTGTATGGGAATTTTGAGCAGTTGTATTATGCTGGACTCTAATTACTAATTATGGGACTTCTGACATCATTTAACTGTAAAACAAGAAGAACAATAATCAATCTGTTGTATAAATTCTGTAAAATGTGAAAGCCAAACAGCCCCTAAGGTGTGAATACTTTTGAAAAGGCACTGAAAAGTTCAGAGTAGGGATTTATCTCACTGACCTGTTTTCAGTTCAAGATGCAGTTCATCTGTTTGGGGGTCAAAAGGTCTGGATAAGGTTATCCACATCTGGAAGGTCTGCCCTCTGCGGATGATGAAGTTGTCGCTCTGGTAGAGGTTAGTGTGATGTTCCACCAGGTTCTCTCCTGTTTTACTTTTCATCAGATCTATTGATCGGACTTTCAGAAGGAGCTCTGTGGAAGCAAACCTCAGATTTTAAAGTGGATCTGTCTCTCTTTTGTTTTAACTAGTGTGTGTTCTCCTATTACCGTTTAGATTGCCCTCTCCGTTCGTCTCCTCCTCTTTCTCTGGCTCATCAGTCCCTGTGACCACAGTTTCCGTCAAATCGTCGTCACTCGGCTGTTTATAACAGCATGGACACGCCTTACGGAGCCAGCGTCGACAGGCGCCCTCCTCCGTTTTTTCATCCTCCACCGTTTCTTCTTTTTCCACCTCAACATTCTCCACAAATGGAAAAGTGACAGTTGGGAAGCGTCCTACTTCAGTTCTGTCTCTGACTTCAGGAATCGCTGCCGGCATCCTGAGAAGAAAACATTTCCTCAATGTCATTAGATAGACAGACTGCTGAAGATTCCCAGTCATCCAGGTCAGAGTCTTTCAAAAATAATTGAAATCAATCCTCTGGACTTTATTTCCAAGTTTGAAGACGTTTCTCTTCCATCCAGGAAGCTTTTTCAATCCAAAATGTCAGAAATAGCGTTTAGTTCCAGGTTTTATCCAGCAGCCCAACAAAGCCTGGTTTTAGTTTAGAAAACATGCAAATAGAAACGGATGAACGGGTCCCCCCCTTTGGAATGGGGGTCGTTTGGCTTCTTTGTTAGCCTGCAATGCCCCATACCTGTCTATGTCTCTGAAAGGGGGGGCGTTAGAGGGAATAGTTGGCCTGGCTGACCAGGTGAGGTCTTCTGTTCTTCTGTGAAGGGGAAAAAACGACCCCCATTCCAAAGGGGGGGACCCGTTCATCCATTTCTATTTGCATGTTTTCTAAACATAAACAATGCTTTGTCTTTGGTCCACTCTATAAAACCTGGAACTAAACGATATTTCACACATTTTGAATTGAAAAATCTTCCCGGATGGAAGAGAAACTTGGAAACAAAGTCCAGTGGATTGGGGTTTTTTTTTTTTACTTTTTTGGAATTAGAAAGTCACTAACTTCCTAAAAAGTAAACAGTGATCTTCTTGTGGATGAAAACTGCAGAGCATAATTCTCATTGCTCTTCCAGGCACAGCTGATGCTCCGAACCATCACATCTGATTAAACTACAGGAGTTAACGATTCTAATTTGTTGTCCAATTAATTTCTGGAGAGAGGAAATTGGCTTTTCTTCAGTGCTGCGGCAGGGATCAGCCTCATTTTTAAGTCTTTCCATTACCGCCCTGTCCTCTGATATGGACTGACAGCATTATTAGGGAAGACTCCGATACCAAATGTTTTTACTGGAAGGAAGAAATGCTGAATGGATACAACTGCATCCTCTGCATGAAGGTCAATACAAACCAGCCAAACTTATTCTGCTCAAATATAAATTAAAAGCTTGAAATGTATGGAAAAAAGGGGAATTCCTTATCTAAATAAAGTTTGGTTATGTTTTATGACTAGACGTATTTTCTAGTATTTTTGAAGCGCCAGCTTATCTGAAAGCAGAGGAGGAATCTAAACCAAACCCAGTTTCTCCAGTTTTTCATAGAGAGCCTGAGATTAATCTATTGACTTATTTTCCTCTGATGATCCAGACTTTGTTTCAATTCCCTGTGAAGATTAAAAAAACTGCTCTGCTCTCATCTCTCCGTTAAACTGCACCAAGGCTTTTTTTATGTTGATATACCTTATGATGAGCAGATCTAAAATGGAAGAAAGGTAGCGCATTTTATGGAACAATCCCATCAGATCGCTGGAGGATCTTTTCTGTTTTGCTTGTTTTTGTGAAATAATCCACGTGTTACTCTGTCAGGACAGAGACAGATGCTCTCTGCACAGGATAATTGGTATTTCAGTGAACATATAATGGATGGCATTCACAAATCTGCACACATTCATACAGTAGAAAGATTGATAGCAATTTAGGATATATACAAATCTAGGAGGAGGAAACATTTCTTCCCACTGAGCTGAAGATTTCCTAAATGATGAAGGTTCAGTGCCTTATACAGAGTCTACCAGCACACCCAAGTTGTTAAATAATAATTAGCCGTCTAAAAGCCTAGGGGTTCCACGGAGGTACTGCATGGGGGCTGCGATAATTGACCTTCCAAAAGTTTTGGTTGATTAGATTTTTTTTTATATATTCCCTCCTGAATATAATTGAAATGTCTTTAAATCCACATGAACATGAATCCAACAGACTGTAGCTAACAGATAAATGGAGGCAGAAGATGTCTTTCAGTCATCAATGCTCCCATTCAGAGACACACAGGAGCTCTTTCAAGCTGGACACCGTTTCATTCACAACACCTGTCCCATCAACCAGGAATCAGAAATACTTTAATAATCCCAGGGAGGGATTACTTTAGTTACATTACTCCATCTGTAATAGAGTGACTATAGGAGCAGTTTGATAGAACACTATTTCATACGATATATATAATTAGGGGTCCCTGCTTCATCGCCATCAGTTTGGGGCCCTTGGCCTGGAAAATGTTGAAGACGCATGATCTACACTATAGAATGATAGCTTCTAGCCAAATACTATAGGAGTTATATAAAAGTATATAAATCCAGATGATTAGCATCTCCTGACAAATGCAGAGCCATCCAGAATATCTTCCTGTTTCTCTGATTGAATCAAACCCTTGCAGGTTTAAAACAGCTTGGTAAGTGAAGTTAAAAAGTAAGGAATAATAAAGCTTAGCATGCATATATTTTTGTTGGGAGGACATTTTCTTTGCATGTAGATAGATAATGCATGAATCTATGTGGCTATTCTTTTTCTGGATTGTTTTACCACTGCGAATCACTACACAGTGACTCAATTTTAATAGTTTACCGTTGTAGCTTTCAGTTAGGTTATTTTTTAAACATTTCATAAGACTGAAGGCCAATGTGAGACGGTTCAAAGAAACACCAGAAAAACTAAACCTAAACATGAAAAAAGTAATTCCTGCAAAATTCTAATAGAGATAAGAACCCACGTATCGTGCTCCAAAGACTGTCCTCTCATTGATATAAAAATGTTCACCTTCAGTTTTATCTTGTTTTGTTTGAATAATAGTCAAAAGTATGTTCAAAAATGTCTTTTCCTAAATCAAATAATTCCTCCGAGTTCAGTCTTGCATTTTTTGCTGGAATGTATTCAATGCCTTTCTCCATCCCTCTGAGGGATAAGTCAGAGTTTGTAAAACACAGACTACATAGTTTGTTTTTAGACATGATCATGAACCCCTAACCAGTCAAGAGACACGACAAAAAATCAAGACCAACAGATCCAACAAAAACATGTGATCCACTGCTGCATCATTCAGTGTTCTACTGTTATAGCTGACCGTCTGCAGTGCAGCAGTGCAGCTGGTTTCATGGAGATATGACTGTAGCAGCACACTGCTGGGATTGGCTACCTGGACTCTGGGCTCACCTTTTACCTGCAGGTCTCTAAATGGAGCAGCAGAGAATCTACGGACCAACCACGGCTGCTGATCGACTGCTTGGCCCTTAAAAGGCTCCGCTTATGGACAGCACGCTGTTTGGCCCCATGTGCTCCTGCTTCTGTTTCACAGATCTTTTGACACATCTTCTGTTCAAGAATTGGACATAAACCCTTTACTTTAACATCTTCATAGTGATTTCATGTAACATCCCTCCTGCTAACTGTGGGCATAACAGGGCCATGTGTTCATACAGGGTTAATGTAAAGTGATTTTATATACAGACTTATTATATAAATGTAGAATTTGTTTTGCTTTACAGAAATGTATGTGAGGATCTGCAAAATTCTTAAAGCTTCATTGGTTTACCAACAATATCTATTTAATATTTCTCATGTAATGGTTTGTCTAATGTATATTTCAACCTTAAATTCATGCTGTACACTTGAGTAAAAAAATTTGAAAACTAAATGTTGCGGAGAAAAACCCACGGATCCACTTTTGTTCCTCATTACAAACTTCTCCCATATGTTGGGTTTATAACCTGTGGCAGCCAGGCTGGGCTCGAGCTGGAAGAAAGGGTTAACTTTTTTATTGTTGTTGTTGCTTTGTTTCTCATTTAAATGTGTGGTAGATAAGCATCCAGGTGACGGGGTGTCATCGGAGGGAGGCAAAGGAGAAACTGGCACAAAGTGCATCTTGGTAGATGGTTATGTCGAATAGTAGAATAGTTTTCTGGATCATTTTTAGAATGAAAGTTTCCTGATCTGTAGCCGACACCCCCATGCCCAAGTGGTTATTAGCTGTAGAAATCCAAATATAGATCGAACTTCCCTCCAGATGAAATCACTTCTGAATTTGCAATGTTGTAAGTCAGATGCAGAGAAAATTTGGAGAGAAGATAAAAATGTCTTGTGCATTTTTACGTATTTGCTAAAGTTATATGTCTTTAGATCTTTGAAGAAACGAGAAGAAAAATAGAAAATAAAGAAAGCAAAATAAAGAAGAAATGATTCATTCTGGTGTTCTCAGAAACTGCCTTCACCTATGGCCATTAGTAAAGCTATAATTAGTGTTGCACCGATACCAGTATCGGTCGGGCCCCCGATCCAGCACTATAATGGCGGCATCGGTATCAGCGAGTACCAACCAATAGGGCATCGATACCATCTTGAGATCCAAAAGTTTCTTCAACTATTGTCACCCATTCCAGGTAGGCAATGAAAAGTTCTACTGGATTCACTTTGCTTTAGTCTTTTTCCTGCTTCACAAAGGGAGGCAGCAGCTTGATGAAGCCATGATGGTGATTATTTTACATCCAATACTGCACAGCCAGGTATCAGGTATTGGTATCGGGGCCAAAAATGGCAAGTCCAAAGTTTTAGTTTCATTTATTCATTTTATAGTAATAGCGTTGTTTATCCTGCACTTGCTGCTATTGCACTTCTGATTAGACCTAAACTGCATTTCATTGCCTTGTACCTGAACCTGTCTAATGACCTTTAAATCTAATCTAATCTAAAAAATTTCACAGCCACACTAGACTTTACTGGTTTATTAAACAGTAAACATAAGTTTATTTTAATAATATGCAAGAGTTTTGGGATTTTTTACAATACAATTAATGACGTAGATTGATGATATATAGGCAGCTTTTTCCCAGTCTTTAGTTCTGTTAATTATAAGGATGTTCAAGTTGACATGAATAAGTATAACATAGACATCCTATATATACCGGTATATAAAATATTTAGATCTGTAGGCTTAATAGAAATGTATGTTTAACACCCGCTTGAAGGATATTTTCAAAAGCTAAATATCTTCCTAGAAAACAAGCCCGATCAGTGCGCATATTCTAGTATGTAGAATATTCAGCTGTTCAACAGGTACTATGAGAATCAAACTTTTCAAGTTGCACAGGTTTGTCTTTCAGTGTTT